AACCTTCTATCGTGATCCCTGTCAGCAGTCAGTGGTAGCTGGACCCCATCTAGTTCTTCTGGGCTCAGGCTGGTGGAGGCCTAACTTAAGAGAATTTTGAATTACGTGATGAAAAGGAAGGAAGGAGAAGGCTCAAGGGTGTGTGTGGGAGAGGAATGTTAGAAAGGTACATTCACTGAGAAATTGCCATGGAGATACAAATACACAGGAAAAAAAGAAAACAACCCCAAACATTGTTTTGACATGTGTTTTCAGTTGCCGCAGTTACCAAGAGAGAAACCACAGAGAAGCCTGGCCAGCATACCATCCATCTGAAGGAGGGTAAGAGACTGTATCATGGCTGCAAAGTCAGGAACACAGCGTCTGAGAGCGAAGAAGAGAACCAAACACCAGTCAGGTGGAGAAGCGGGGAGAGCGGTGTCACCATCAGTTGAGTCAGTTCAAAGCATTTCCAGTTACCTTAACAGTTTCTACCTGAAAATGCAGAGACACTCAGTGGGTGCACAAAGAGAAAGAGGAGGGACCACACAGATTTAGGCAGGCTGAAAGAGCAATCCCCGCCCAGGATGTTTCAGTTTTTGATTCTATTAATAGGTTCTCTTGCGGTTGGGCCACATTTCTTGTAATTGGGTTCTGCGAGATAACACCATTTCCTTAAAAAATTCCTTTTCCGGCTGAAGCTGGATCACATGACTTTCTCTAAGTTTTAACCAGAAACACACACACATAAGAACACACATACGCACACGCACATGCAAAACCCTAAGAGAAATTCACCCTTCAAGCCACCAAATCTCCATTCTGTTCACAAGCTGGCATCCCACGGAGAAACAGAGACCATCATTCCCAAAATCCACTTAGACCATCATCTGTCAACAGCTCAAATGCTTCCACCATAACTGTCCTTCTCCTTCCACTCCCACTTCCTCACAACACTCTGGTCTGCAGACGGAGGGTGGGGGCATCAGATTTGCTGGGCTTCCTTCTTTGTTGGGTATTTCTGGTTTCGCTCTCTAGATCTTCTCTCCCTCTTTCTCCACCTTGCTCTGTGCCCCGGGAGGTTGACTCACAACCTAAATCAAGCAGCCTCAGGTCACCAGACAGAAACCTGTCATCTGTTAGACAATAAGGTCTGCTGACCCATTGCAATGAGTGCATCAGAGGAGCCGTGGAGAAGCATCATCGAACGAAGGAAAAGATGGAATCCTTACAAGATTCTGGGAAGGGTTTAGATTAAATTGAAATGAAATTATGTTTTAGTGGGCTTAAAGCCAAGCAGGGGCTGTTATGGACTGAATTGTGTCCCCTAAAAAGATATGTTGGAGTCCTAACCCCTGGTACCTGTGAACGTGGCCTTGTTTGGAAATATGGTCTTTAAAGAGGTTATTAGTTAACACGAGGACATATTTGGGTCCTAATCTGATCTGAGTGGTGTCCTGTAAAACAGAAGACCCAGAGAGACAGAGAGACGGAAGACAGCCACTTGAAGATGGCATGATGCTGCAGCTGTAAGTCAAGGAACGCCTGGGACTCCCAGAAGCTGGGAGAGACAAGAAAGGATCTTCCTCTAGAGACTTCAGAGTTAACAGGGCCCCGCGGACTCCCCGAATTCAGACGATTAGCCTTCAGAATTGTGAGATGACGAATTTGTGTTGCTTTAAGCCGCCCACTTTGTGGTCCTTTGTTAGGGCAGCTCTAGGAGATTAAGACAGGGGCCGGCATCAGACCTGGACTGCAGAGTCTTGCCCTTCCTGGAAAGCCCACATCCAGTGACTGATGATGCAGAGGTAGAGAGGCCCGGCTGCCTCAGTCCAGCATGGGACAATGCTGCAGGGTCATTCTCGTGTCTGAGCTTCCCCTGGGGTTGACTGAGGCTGTTGTTGGGCCTGCATCCCAGATCTCTGCCCAGTCCTTCTTCCTTCCCCTCCTTCTACAGGTGTTGGTACCAAGAGCACATCTGAAAAAACAGCCTACACTAGGCTCTAGACCTGGGCCAGCTGCCTACCTTGCAGACCAAAAACCAAGCTCATTTCTGTTGAGTGGATTCTGACTCATAGTGACCCTACAGAATAAACTGCCCCATAGGGTTGCCAAGGAGCAGCTGGTGAATTTGAACTGCTGACCTTTTGGTTAGCAGACAAGCTCTTAACAACTGTGCCACCAGGGCTCCCTACCTTTCAGGTCTCTACGCAAAAGTAAGTGGAGGAACACAGAAAATGGCAAGTGTTGTATTGAAGGGCCAAAGATTGAGTCCACGCTCCAAAGTGACCAGATTTCAAATACTCCCAGAGATGAATCCTAGGGCCTGGGGATGAATTAACAAATCTCAAAGTCAGCTGGGAAGGGGGCTCCTTTGGTGGCAGTGAGAGAAAACCATCTTGAGGTTCCATAGAGAAAATGGAGGGACTTACTGGAAGGACATGAAGCTCTCCTGCAGCTGGCCTTAGGGGAGTGGATCTGGAGAGTTAAACTGGAAATATCTGGCATAGAATAGAACTGTGGCTGCCCTCTGCCCCCCTCCAGCAAATCTGATGCCCCACCCCATCTGCAGACCAGAGTGTTGTGATGAAGTGGGGGTGGAAAGAGAAGGGGAGACCTTCATTCATCCAGTGCTCATACACATCTGGGGCTGAATAACCCTTTGTAGAATCTTATCCATCAGTGTTTGAGTGGGGCTTGAGGCCGTGGAAAGATCTGGGCACTTTTCTGAGGCACAACTGAAGCCCTGGGTGTCCTGAACTTTGAAAGGCTGCCCCTTTCTTCTGACCAAAAGCGAAAGGAAAAATGGGAAATGGAGAATTCTAGAAACGCCCTTCCTCTGAAAACCATCTTTGTGCAGGCATCTGGGGGAGGCTGGCTGCGGCTGGGTCACACCGAAGTCAGGCCTATAGGACTCGGTTCTTCTTGTTTATCCTCAGCTGTATCTGGGACAGCTGCCAGGGCCCGCCCTCACTTGGCAGTCAGTGGAGGAGCTCCTAGTTACGGGTTCCTGCTGAGAACTGGTACTTCTCACTTTTGCAGTACTGGGGCTTGCAGGGGCCTGGGGGCTGGGAAAGGTGGGCACTGGTCCAGCCCTGAGTGGGGAGCAGCCTCTCTAGCACCATGCCGGCCTGCTGCAGCTGGGAAGATGTTTTCCAGTATGAGACGAACAAAGTCACCCAGATCCAGAGCGTGAATTATGGCACCATTAAGTGGCTCTTACACACGATCGTCTTTTCCTATGCCTGGTAAGCAACGTGTGGGCATAACCCCAAATCTCTGCTGTGGCTGACAGCCCAGATCACTCCATGTGTGGCTTCAGGGGTACATCTGGAATTCCACGTGGCTTTCGAATCTGAGATGTGCTTCTCCTGGCCAGCTGGTCTGGAGGAAGTGGCACCAGACAGTTGCAGAAAGAAGCCATGGAGGAGGGTGAAGGAGAGGGGGTTGAGGGTGACTTCTCTGCTCTACTCCAGGCCTGCCCGGGGAGCAGAGCAGGGCATGCCTAAGGAAGATGGAAAAACGCAGGGCAACACCCTGGATTCCTGGGGAGGAGGCTGGGAGTTCAGGGCATGCTTGACGAGAATGCTGGTTTCTGAATCACTACCGCTTAGGGGAAGAGAATCAGACCAGCTTGTAAATGGGAACTGTAGGTCTTCAATGTCAGGAAGGTTTGTCTCTGGTGGTTTTTTGTTTGTTTGTTTTGTTTTGTTTTAACAACTTTACTGAGATATAATTCATATAACATACATTCACCCATTTAAAGTGTACAATTCAATGATTTCTAACATATTCACAGAGTTATGCATCTATCACTACAATCAATTTTAGAACATTTTCATCATCCCCCAAAGAAACCCCACACCCCTCTGCCATCACTTCACCCCTCATACCCAGCCACAGCCCCTGTCAACCACTAATCTACATTCTGTCTCTATGGATTTGCCCATCCTGGACTTGTCATCTAAAGGAAATCAATCCTACATTATGTGGTCCTTTGTGACTGGCTTCTTTCACTCAGCACAATGTTTTCAAGGCCC